TGACTCCCATCCCTCTCGACTGGGTGGGGGGCGGGGTCGGCGGCGTCGCCGGGCGAGAAGTCCGGGGCCGCCGGCTCCCCCACTTTAAGATTCTGGCCGCCGGGCCCGGGGTTCCGGAACCCACGGAACCGGTGTGCCAGAGGGCCCAAGTCGTCTCTAGTCGGGGCTAGTGGCGATTCTTGCACGGGCCCTGGGGAGGGAAGGACACAGTCGGAGTGTTCACGCTGCGTCCCGTGATCCGCGAGGGGTCTGGATCGCGTTTTTGTGCATGAAGTCTTGCCATGCTGTTAGTGTTGCGTAATACTAGCGTGTCGTGTTGGCATATACTGGGCCGGGGGGTGTCACTGAGGGTAAATGTTTGGTTCCGGTGCACCCCCTGTTATGACCGAGGCTGGAACACCCCTGGAGCTTTAGTGAATAAAAATCTCACACTACCCCTCGCTAGCCCCACTGGTGAGGGGTGCCTGATGCAGGATTAAAAAAAGAAAAAAAAAGTTTTCGCGAACTGGCACGATGGCATGGTCTTGATTCCCGTGGTACGCGCGTGACACTTTTTGATAGACTTTCGGGTAATTTTGAAAGAACCGGATAGCCGGATCAATGTATAATAGCTGGTCCCAGCGGCTCTGAAGACCGAGCTTCTACCGAGGACTCTTCTTTGATGCGATCTGAGAATACGAGAGCTCCAACTGGTGATACGAGAAACCCAAATATTCAAGAAATTGTTCAGGCAGTATTGCAAGCGTTAGAATCTAACCCGGGCATACGACCCCGAAGAGAACCTATTCGAGAGCCTGGTCGACAAAATTCAGGTCCACCACCATCCCCGAGTAACGGATCGCAAGCCAGCGCACTACAAAACTGGCATCAGGTTAAATTCTCATCCAAACTTATACCATCGTTCATGGGACAGGAAGAGGAAAACGTGGTGTTGTGGTTGGAAAGAATTGTCAGCATCGGACGACTTTACCAGTTAACAGAGGACGTCTTGGTGTTAGCAGCGGTCAATAAACCTGAAGGTCGTGCGTTGAGTTGGTGTAACCGTCAATCAGTGGATACGGTAGCGACCTGGGAAGATTTTAAATTTCAGATAAGAGCTTTCTTCCAGAGAAAGGAATCCGTCACGACTACTTTGGCCAAGGTTGGGACTCGCATATGGAAAATCTATTCCGAGACGTTCGCAGATTATGCTGAGGATAAATTAAAATTGATGTAGTCCTTGAAACTGAGTGAAAAATAAAAAATTGAACTCTTGGCAGATGGGGTCAAGGATTCCTCGTTACGCAGATTTGCGCTCGACTCGTGGGCCACAACAGTGCCGGAATTTATCGAACATATTAGAAGAATAACCGAAGACACTGTAGTCTTCGCCCAGAACAAAGCAGGAGGAGTTTTCCTACTGTACCTCCCAGTTCCAACTATATGATGTGTACACACTGTAAGAAAACGGGTCATCAAGCCAAAGATTGCCGGTTGGCCCAATTGACATGCTACAACTGTGGACAAAGGGGCCACCTCAATCATGGATGTCCAAGGAAGAGGACGGCAGCACCAGATCCAACCTCGAATCTCTTGGCGGAGGACGCATTAGCGGAACATCCAAGAGGGAAATACTCATTGGCACGTGCTACCGACTCAGTGAGGGAACCCTGTTTGATGTCAACAGTAGCAAACAACGTAAATTTCGCGAGGAAAGACGTACGGTATATAACTGTGTACACTTTAGGGAATAAGAATAAACCACTACGTATACTCGTGGACACAGGTAGCCCTGTCAGTTTGGTTAGAAAATCGGTATACACTGAGCATTTTACAGACTCTAAGTTATTGCGTATTCGCGACGATTTAAATTTAAAGGGCATTAATAATTCTTCCCTTACTGTTTATGGGAAAATTTGCGATCAGATTCAACTGGAGCAATTAAAGGATCAACGGTTTGATATCACTTTTTTAGTCGTAGACGACGATACCATTTCTTTTGACATGCTTCTGGAAAGAGAATTTTTTGTCGAAACTCAAATTCGAGTAACCTATCATAAAGGTGCATTCGAATTTGAGGCTTTCCCCGATAGCAACGTTAAAGTGGGAACGGTTTTTGCCATAGATGCGATAGAGGAACGAAGTCGCTATGACATAGTATCAGAAAACCTAGATAATGATTTAGATTTTTCCGCAAAAGAACAACTGTAAACTTTATTATACGAAATAGATTCTCAAAAACTAGAGCCCCTTAAAGATAATTTTATGATTAGAGTGCATTTGAAGGACACCTCTTTTTTCAGATACTCACCCAGAACAATGTCATTTCAGGAGAAAAAAGAACTCCGGGAGATTACTGATGATCTATTAGCACGAGGTATAATAAAACCTAGTATCTCTCAGTATTGCTCACGAGTTGTTTTGATTAACAAACGAAACGGTACAAAGCGTATGGGCGTTGACCTTCGGCCTTTGAATCAGCGCATTTTTCCTCAAAAATTTCCATTTCCCATAATCGAAGATCAGCTCTGTGGAAAAGAAATCTTCCCCAAGCTGGACCTAAAGGATGGCTTCCATCAATTAGATATACATCTGGACGATACGAAATATTTTTCGTTTGCAACCCCCTATGGCCAATTTAAATACGTCAAGATGCCCTTTAGGTATTCAGAGGCGCCTGCAGAGTTTCAAAAACGTCTCCTGTATATTCTTGATGCGTTACTACGTAGCGGTAAGATATTATTATGTATCGACGATATATTAATTGCAACTTCTACAATATCCGAAAATTTGCAGATTCTGAAAGAGGTGCTTATCACGCTAAGGAGTTACAGTCTGGAATTAAATCTCTCAAAGTGTTTATTCCTAAAGACGAAAATTGAGTTCTTAGGCTACATGGTATTGGCCGATGGAGTCACTTTAAATCAGAGGCATACGGAAGCCATTGCATCTTTTCATTATCCAAAAAATTTTAAACAAGTCCAAGGTTTTCCGGGATTAACCAATTATTTTCGAAAATTTATTAAGGATTATGCAATAAAAGCAAAACCATTACATCTTTTAACTAAGAAAGGTGTAGATTTCGTTTTCGATGAAAAATGTAAAGAGTCCTTCAACTTGTTAAAAAGGGAATTAATTTTCTTTCCCACCTTACGTTTTTATGATCCAACGGCTGAGACCGAATTGCATACCGATACAAGCGGTCAAGGATATGGAGCCATATTGTTGCAACGACAAAAATCAGGCGAGATGGCTCCGATCGCGTATTTTAGCAAAGCAACTAGCGAAACAGAAAAAGAGTACCACAGTTACGAACTAGAAACTCTTGCAATAGTAAAAGCCCTAGAACGGTTTCACGTTTATTTGCATGGAATCACTTTCCGGGTCATAACCGACTGTAACTCACTGGCGCTAGCCCTCAAGAAAATAAACCTTAATCCTCGCATTGCGAGATGGTCACTACACTTTCAAAACTACAAATTTAATGTAGTACACAGGTTCTCGGATAAGATGGTACATGTTGACTTTCTAAGTCGGCACATTTTAACTAATGTATAGGCGATAAAGTATATTCAAAGTATTTTAGAAAAATTCAATTTAAGAGAAGCAGATAGTGTCTGTACACTAATAGAGGTAGACTGAGATGCAGGTAATTTAAAAGGGAACGATTGTAAAGCGCCCTACAGGGAGGCCGTAGGTAGCCTTATGTATCTTCAGCTATTTACTCCGCCTGATGTCAGCTATGCTGTAAAATTGTTTCGCGAACATTAGAAAAACCAAGCGAAGCTCATTGGCAACTTGTATAGCGGATTATAAGGTACCTCAAGGGTACTGCAGGATTAGGACTAATTTATACTAAAGGCGGTAATTTTAAGGTGTATTTTGATGCCGATTATGCGGGAGATAAAGAGACACGAAAATCGACATTAGGTATTGTGTGTCAATATGCGCATACGGCTATTTCATTCAATTTTTGGCAATTTTGCACCGAGACGTGCAAAACTTTTGCTAATCCTATCTTTTATGATGCAGAAAATGGATGAAGCAACTTCCGCACAGCCAGACCCTACAACAGCAGGATCTACTTTCAAACCAAAGATTAATCGAGGAAAGGGATCAAAACTTAAGTCGACTGAAAAGTTTCGGCTTAAAGTGGGTCGAAAGCAACTTCAGGATAGAAAGGATGAGATCTCAAAGCGATGGGAATTCACTATGTCTGATGACATGGAAGAGGTTTCTAAGTCGCTTGATGCTACCCATCTACCTATAGTTCAAAGAGCCAGAGCAGTTCCAGTTGCCACCAGAGAAATTGGTGTAGCAGCTGCCATCGAGTATATGAAGATGACAACTACCTGGAATTTCAATGCCATCAGTGAAATTTGTACAATACATCAGTATTACAGGGTGTCACTTTATCTTTTCTACTCTAGATGTGTGGAAGCAGGGCAGACTCAGACCAACACTGAGTCCTTTCCAATGTCGAAGCCCTATTATATGAAAGAGCAATTACGCTTCTTCCTTGACCCGGTCTTTAAGACGCCGATTTGCACTACAACTATATTGTCGGCAATTGGGCGTGTTAGCGTGGGAAACTATGAGTGGCACTGTTTCCTTCCCGAACCAACAACAGAGCGCTTGACTAATGCGGAGTTTTGTTATCTCTATTTGCAGCCACGTTGCATCCGTTCAGTTTTAGAACATTTCATTGCTGTGGATGATAGCAATAGAGCTTTCGCTACTGCGTTTAGGGAGAATTGTCCCATTCCAGGGGCCCAATGGGCAGTGACAGGGGCTTTATCGAACATCGATGAAATTTGGCCAGCGAACTATGGTGCTGACGCTCTCCGTGAAGATATATCAAGTGTAAATGCCTTGGTAATGCGTGTTGCAAACCGATTACCTCGCAGTTTTATCCAAGGAATTGTGAAGGATGGTAATGGAAATAGAGGATGTTTAATATCTGTGGATCCTCTTGAAGGTATATGTATTGAATCCACCTTCACAACTGCGGTTCGGACTTCAATTCGCAAACGACACGGAGTAGATGGCGAAGCAATTGAGTGTGCACCCCAAGTAGTACCATCTTGAGTAACAGCAATTCGAGTATAACTGTCTACGACGGAAGCGGAACATGTTAGCGCAGCATCAGCCGCTAAAGAGATTATCTGGCTGAAGAGATTGTTTTGTGAATGCGAAATTAATGTAGATTACACTTTATTAGTAGACAATATGAGCGCGATCAGATTAATTAAAAATCCGGAATTTCATCAGAGGAATAAACACATCGATGTAAAATATGATTTTATACGTGAGCTATACAATAAATTGAAATTGATGCAGGATATGTTAAGACTGAGGAACAACTAGCTGATATATTTACGAAGGCATTATGTAAACTACGATTTGTATATTTAATAAAGAAACTAGGACTTATAAGAAAGTAGAGAGACTTAAAAGAGATATTATAGACTAATATTGTAAATTTTTGTATGTGATGTAGCGGTACGTGGCTCGCAGCGTTGGTAGGAAATAGAATTGACCACTTACAGATGTTTAGGTATAGGCAATTAAGCCTACCCTAAAGTCTGTAAGTTGGCGAAAATATTTTACACTTTTTATACGTGCGTAGCTGAATAGGCTACCCTACCATAAACGCTGCCAGCCATGTCCCGTTAAGGCTTCTTCGGCCGCACGATCAGCGCGGCTCGGGAAAAAGATTCCGAATTAGAAATCCACAATTTTTTCCCCTGCCAAAAATCGAGGTGACGTTGGAGAAGGGAATTAGCTCCACCCTCAAAGTTTCCAAGGGATAACGTCTTTCCGAAGACGCAAATAAATAAAGCGGAAAGGCGCGAGGAAGCAGATTACCCGTTCTGCCTCCGAACACTCGTCTACATAAATAAATAACTTACAAACATATTTGTCGCGAGTATTCAATAACACCTTACATCGCGACAGTTGAGTTTTAGGGAAAACGTTGAAGTAAAATAGTAACTCGGAAAATCTCCACCGATAAAAATAATTCGTCTGGAACGCGTTCGTTGCCGCGTTTCTTCTTTATTTCGTTGTTCAGTTGTTATAGACGCGTTTCTTCGCGTAGCCTCTGGTCGATAGTATAATGTGTAATGTGTAATCTGCCTTTTCTATAAAATATATACTTCATCACCTTTTTCCATTAATTTCAAACCTACCTCCATTTTTTCAGTTTTTATTGTGTTTGTATTTTCAGAGTAGATAGTGTCAAATTCTCTAAGATGTTCTGACACAGTACTTTGACATAGGACTCTAAACCTCGGCAATAAATTCTCTTGAGCTGATACTGCTGCTCTACTCATTTCTGATTTAACTTTAAAAGCTCCCTCTATTTGACTTATTTTACTATTTTCGAACTGTTTATAAAGCATAGCCGAATAAGGAGGGGTAAAGGTGCCAGCGGCTACACGTATCCGATTGCTTTTCAGACAGAACCGTCAGCGTGCAATCCAAAAGGAGATCATGGGATCGTCTTTGCATTGTCAAGTGTCTAAGAACCGGGTCCATGAGTACTTTCGGGATATGTACTCATCGGCGGGCAACCTGGCTAGGCCTCCCCCTTCCGTTTGAGACTCCAGACGAGACCAGCGATGCGGCCTTGGTGAAGATCTTCAAGGCGAGTGAAGTAGGCCGTCGGATCAGGCGCATGACTAATTCTACGCCCGGACCTAACGACCTTACTTACAATGACCTGAAGAGAGCAGATCCGGGGTCGCATTTGCTGACCTCATTATTTCGTTTATGTCTGCGTCTGGAGTCGGTTCCCTCGGATTGGAAAACTTCCAAACACTGTGTTCATGCACAAAGAGGGTGATCACAACGATCTGTCAAACTAGAATGATGAGCCAAACGAGTCATTAGGATGTGATTTTTTTTAATAGAAATACATAATAGAATGAGTCCTGCAAAAAAAATGTATACTACATATAAATTCACAGCTAATGCAATATTATAATATATTTGTAAAGATGTTATACAAATAAATGTATATTTGGAAACAAATGAACAACTCTTTAAACATTTAATGAAATAAATTTTAATATAATGGTTTTAAATAAAATAAAAATTTCAATATAATTCTTTAGCTATACAGCATAAAAAATATTACCTCAGATAAAAGTTATTATGTTTGATACCATTTTTCTGATTATCAAAAAATTCATGTTACCTCATATAAAAACAAATGAGACTCGCAGGATGAATAATATAACTCATTCACCTTGAATATCTATTTAGTTTCCATAACAACAAAAAATATTGTAGATTTAAGGAGACAAATATTATAGTATGCATAGTAAGTATAATAAATATTATAATAACAAATTTTTTCAGGATCATGTTTTTTAAAATTTTAAGATCATGGATGTTTTTTTAAAATGACATATTTTTACCATTGTTGCATTACAGATGAGATTAAAATCAATCCAATTATCTATAATATCATAACCTTCATACAAACTTGAATACCAATAATTTTGGTAATACTTGAATATAGATACGAATAATGAGGTACAACATATATAAGGTACAACATTTACAATTAAATTTGTAAAACCAATCATGTAATGATCATGAACATTGACATGTTTTACATCTGCTACTATAGTTGTAGATAATATAATTCAATAATAACTCTTGTTGTAATCCTTAAGGAAGATAGTTACAATTATCAATGATATAATAACAAGGAAAATATTTAAACACCTTTAATTTACAATAAGAATGTATATAATATGTCATAGTATAGCACTTTATGTAGAACAATTTCCAAATAAAAGTCATTTGCCACATCACATATTTGAATGATTACTTAAAACAACACTTCTGAAATCTGGATGTTAAGTTAAGAAAATCAAGTCATCAAACATCAAAACATATAATACAACTATATATATATATATATATATATATATTTCTACAGTTTAGATGATAAGTAATTCTGATATTAATTACTATCATCAAAAACAAATAACGTACTCAAGGTAATCCCTCTATACATTATCCAAACTTTAGTCTTACCAAATGTTCTGTTGTATTCAAATCTAAATTAAAATTTGTAATATTACCTTTGTTATCATTTACGTTAAATTTTCTTCTTTACCTTCATAGATGACCAAGTTTATTATATTTTGATTTCTTATGTTATCACAGAAATATCCATTCTTTTTTATGGCTCCTGAGTATAATTATAAGATTTCTCTTTCATATATCACTCAGCTAATTCAGAGTTTAATTTCCCATCTCTGAAACATAAAAATTGAAAGAGTTTCAAATGCTACTTCTTTATTATTATTATTATTATTATTGTTGTTGTTGTTGTTGTTGTTATTTCTATTAATAATTTTGTCTATTTTTTAATTCTTCGTTTAATGACCTTGATTCAATAAAATACAAATTAACCTCTTCGCTACTTATTATTTCAAACATTCTAATTACTACATTCTACTTTTTATTTATGATTAATAATAAACAGCATACATTAGAAAACTAATTTTTTATTTACTATTCTCTAATTTTATAATGACCATAACAAACTTCAAAAACATCTTATATCTTCATACCTAGACTGCATTTCTAATATCTTCCATTCTAAGTATACTTTCAAACAAGTGTTTTTCATTTAAAAATTTGTTAAAATATTTTTGTTTACTGAAACAGTACCATCATTTGCTTCAATGTTGAAACACATTTAATTAAACATATGTAATACAAATTTAATATTTAATAGTAAAATAACTTTTACTGTAAGCAAATTAAACTATTTACATCACGAAGCAAAACATTCCGCAAAAATGTTTACTTCACATTTCTATCAGAAACAGAATCCGCGAATTTGCTGACTAATATCCCCCTAGCGGAATATTCCGCGACTTGATTTTTTTTTTTGTTAACTGTCGGTAGACCATATTATCGATTGAGATTTATTTATTCATATTATAACTATTCAAATCAAAGTTTCATTGCAAAAATGGCGTCGTGCAGTAAGGAACACGTTGTTTATGATTCGGATACAAAAGAAGATGTATTTCAACCAAGAAAACGTTTACGTACTGTACCGCTCACTTATAACGATCATGAAAGTAATAATAATTGTAATGGAACTAAGCAAGATTTCTTATGGGAATCGATAAATCACAAGCCGGAAATTCACCCTTTCTCAAGCCTCGGTGGGGCAACAATTGATACAAATGGAATGTCGAGGGGGGAAATTTTTGAATTATTTCTTAACCAAGAATTAATAGAAAAGATTGTAGTCGAAACAAATAGATATGGTATGCAACATGAACATTTCAAAGATATTACGGCAGAAGAATTGAAAATATATATTGCTCTTTGCATTCTAATGAGTATTGTGCTAAAGCCTGAATTACAAATGTATTGGTCAAGGGATCCAAGTATTGAAACAGCATATTTTGCAAATGTTATGAGCCGTAATAGATTTATGGAAATATCTAGAAATCTTCACTTTTCAAATAATGATACTGAAGATGAAAATGATCCATTAAGGAAAACAAAAGATATTTGTAATATAATAATTAAAACATTTATAAATCTTTACAAGCCGCACAAAGATATTTCTATAAATGAATATTTGATGAAGTGTAAAAGTCGATTGCATTATATACAGTTCAATAAATTAAAAAAATCAAGATTTGGCATTAAATTTTATAAATTGTGTGATTCAAAAACTGGATATGTACATAATTTTAAAATATATGTTGGGAAAAATAAATTTGATTCTGAGCTAGCTATTAATAACATTGTGATAAATTTAATGACAGAAAGCAAGTTGCTGCGTCAGGGATATTGTCTTTTCATAGACAGTTGGTACAATTCTATAGATTTATTTAAAAAGTTATACGATCTAAAAACAAACATTTGTGGAATAATAAAAAATTATAGGAAAGGAATACCCAAAGAAATAAAACATATAAAACTAAATAAAGGAGAAGCTGTAATATTCTCAAATCAAAAAATTAATATTATAAAATGGCAAGATAAAAGGGAAATAGTGATACTGACAACAATGCATCGTTTAAAATTTGGTGAATCTGGAAAAATAAATCAATCTGATGGATTCAGAATTTTGAAACCTACTCCCATAATTGATTATAATAAAAATATGAATGGAATTGACATGAGTGATCAAATGTTAAGTAAATTTCATATTATGAGACGAAATCAAAAAGCATATAAAAAAATATTCTTTTATTGCATAGATATGATGCTACTAAATAGTTATATTCTTTTTAAAAATAATACGACAGATAGAGCTTTCCATGTGTACAAACAAAAATTAGCAGAAGAAATCATTTCAAAATATCTTACAAGCAGAACTAATATGCGATCATCAACACCTACTACTTCAGTTCTCAGATACACTGGCCAACATTTTCCTATTCGAATACCATATACAAAAGCGAAAGGAAGAAGAACATCTAAACGCTGTAACGTATGTTTATCCCAATCTATTAGAAGAGAAACAGTTTTTCAATGTGATATTTGCAGCGTACCACTATGTATAGACCATTTTAAACCATATCATCTTAAATAAAATTATACCATTATAATTTTTAATGTATAGTATACCCTGTATTTTGAAATCTGAAACTAAAATAAATTATAAATAACTTAATAATTTAAGTATGCTCAATTATAGCCCATGATATGTTGCTATTTAACATTAAAACATATTATATGGAACTGAGACACTTCAAAGTACTGAATTTAATAAAACGCACGTGGTCAGGTGTTTTACGTCATGCAACTGAATACATCGATAAGGATAGAATGAAGTTATAAAAGCAACAGGTGCTGAAAAAATTCATTGGTAATGTAGATGTACAACATAAAAATGCAATCACTGATTTCAAGTAAATAAATTAAAATTCACATTAAAGGGTGAGATTTCCGTAAACCTAACCAATCCGATAGGTCTGAAATTTTGCAGATAGCTTTATTTTGCATAAAGCCATGTTTGCGAGACAGATTTTGGTGATGCGAAGATTTAGATGCATAATTTTGTAAAAAAGTATTTTACCACTTTCCTGCCATTCTCTGTCATTTTTTAAACTTTCATGTTCTGATTAGTCTGATATTATATCGATAATTTCATTTTGCATAGAAAAAATGTTTACATGAAGGATTTTTAGCAATTTTAAAGTTACGATACAAAATTTTGTAAAAAAGCATTTTACCATTGAATGTCACTCCCTATGTTACCGCTATACTATATAGTATAGAAGAAGCACTTCACGATGCATACAAAAACAACTATTTTTGAAAACACCAAGGAACATTGTAGTGAAAACCGCAGATAAGGGATTAAGGCGTTCAGAATATTTCATTTCTGGTATGAGATAGGCTAATTTTTCATGGGGAGGGGTTGGAGGGAGCCCCTTAGATAGAACCTTTTATGCAATTACTAGAAAATATAAAATGTGTGTATACATCGAGAATTATTGAAGGAAAAATATTGAGTTATTGTATGAAATTTGATTTACGTAGTGTCGGTATTGCAGTTAGTGATACTACGGTAAAACGTTTTTTCGTAAAATTTTGTATCTTAACTTTGAAATTGCCAAAAATTCTTCTCGTAAACATTTTTTTCTATACAAAATGAAACTATAGGTACAATATCAGACCAATCAGAACTAAACATTTCAGAAATTACAAGGATTGACACTAAAATGATAAAATAATTTTTTGACAAATTTTGCATCTTAACAGACATCTTATTATACAAAATGAAGCTATTTGAGAAATTTCAGTCCCATCGAATTTGAAAAGTTTTCGGAAGTTTCAACACTAATTTCGATTGAAATCATTTTCGGCGATTATAAAATAAAACCGTGGATACCCCTTCGCCATGAAAAACTAGCCTTACTTACACGGAGAATTAAGAATTCATTATTTATACTTGAGGGTGGTTTGGACCCGTGGTTGAACATCATCATTTGTCTGATACATTAAATATTATTAAAAGTTAAGTTTAAAAGCAGTTCATTGCCATATATGTAAGCTAAAGCGATGAAAAATGTTTGACAATGTACTAATTTCAAGTGCTTTAATCCCTTGCCTGCAACTTTCATTACAATCTTCTTTGTCTCTTGTGAAGGGGTGCTTGACCTACGCTGTACCGATAACATAGGGATTGACATCACAACAGAAAAAAAACTTTCCCAAAAAATATTGTATGTTAATTTCTAAATACAAAATAAAGCTACGGGTAGAATATTACTTAGAAGAAGTAGAAGTATAGCCTAATAAGGAGGTATTGTAGTGTGACAGGTGTTCTCCTTACACTTTTTAACGAGTTATTTATAAAAATTCAATAAAAGTTATTAGCATAAGCTTTATGCTATAACGTTTACGTATCTTCGAAGAATGGTTACAAATTTTTTTATTGGATAAGTCGACAAAGTTGGATATAAAAAAGAAGTAGGTTGTTGGTTGTTGGAAAGCGTGATCACTACGCCCTCACTTGGGCTGTTAATCGTGTGGCGGAGGAGGTTCGCGTAAAACGAGTACTGCGCGTTTCCTGTTGTATATTGTGTGTGCCACGTGTGCTTGAGCAGTTCTAGCGACCTGTTATCCTAATATTCACATTGCGCTTACATTAATACATATATTAATAAAACAATCAAACGCTGGTTACCATGATTAGAGTTGCTTTTGCTTACTTTGGTTTTTTTCGGTATATTCGATTTTTTCCGTACATTTTTACCTCAAAATGACTATACAAATCAGGAAGACATATTTTGGCATAATTAACATACCGAGGATAGCCATTCACGTGCTGGTGACATACACAAAATATGAACTTGATCAGTACAACAACTTTTGAGATTTCCTGGCAACCAATTCGAAAAATGTGATTTCGATAAAATAGCGTTTTGGGTTTCAATGTTTTGTGGTCGGGTTATGCCAGCGTCATACATAAGGGTCTCTACCTTTGTTATTTTTTTAAACGTCACTAAAAACTTTTAGAAGAACATTTTTAAAGAGTTATACTTTCGATATATGAAATAAAAAAAATTGACTTTTTATTGCTCACACTACAATACTCCCTTTAATACTCTCAAAGAAATATTACCCAATATGGTACTAACTTCTTTTGTACTATTGTTGGATGACCAACCTAATGACGCACCATAGATAAGCGTCGTAGACCCGCCGCGTCCAAAATATTTTACTCAGCATGTTTTTCACAAGCCCAAAATCCTAGATAAAATACACAAATGTCTCATCCAGGACTAGTCATCTATAACGAGTCATCAGGTACCAAGGGCCACCAACATCCCCTCCTTAGTGAAAAGCTTAGTATATAAGAATTGGAATCTCTAGGATAATTAGTTATTCTTTCAACCCTGTTGGTTAACGGTCTGTCCGAAATTGTCTGTTTCCGCGTCGTTCGATGTGTTATATCTGGAGAATACGTTGAAACGCCGAAATATAATTATTATTAACGAATCGGACTTCGCGTCATTCACCCGGATCCCAACACTATACTTAAATTTTCAAATAATTGCCTCGTCATATGGAAAATGGTATATTTCTTAAAGGACATTAATATTCGTTTAACGCTAAATCGTTCTCTTCAATAATATGCAATTCAAATAGCAATGTATGTTTTAGATATCTGGTGTTTACTTCAAATTTGAAATTACGTTCATTATGTACAATAACATAATGAACTCCTTTTTTCGTGGCTATATGATAAGATTTGGTATTTCCAAATACGCCTGTTTAATACACTTTGATATCAGCTTTAAGTACATGCAATAAAAAATATAAAATATATTTTTACTAACATTATTTTAAGGTAAAGAGTACCTCTCGTTGGTAGTAAAATAATTATCATTGTAACATGCACCTCTCGATACCACATCACTTTTGTTTGAAACATTCTTTTCGGTTGAATTATACTTTGGCGGAAACAAAATTATTAACTTTTTTTATCAAATTTGGTAAATTTTGATATACAGTAAGAATATTTATAATTCTGGGAATCCATATATATTATGGATTTCCATCGATAATTTAGTTCGCGATAACCAATATTTTCTTATATACATAGTGCTAAATGCATAGGCAAAGGAAGGATATTAATAATCGCTTTACAATTATTGGAATTACACCTATCAACAGTATAGTGTTCAGAAGTTATAATGTTGCACATGTAATGGATAATAAGAATCAACAATAACATAGGTATTTCTATTAAATTATTTAAAAATAGATTCGTTCGCCACAAACTAACAACAAATTTTCTAAGATAATTTTTTTCCCAATTTTGCTTTTCAAAAGCTTCACTTAATAACAAAAATGGAGAATCAATTACAGTAAATCAAAAAGGTTATACAGATTAAAAAAAAGTCAAGTTAAAAATTTCTCTTTAGTAAAATTCTAAGAAAGTTATTTTCTCACTGATTACAAAGGAGTATCTGAAAGTGCTACAAAATTAAATGTATTAATTCACTTAATGAATGTGAAAGAATTTAAAGCTTCTTTGTAAGAATACCGGTTTTCAATTTATTTCAATATTATACAGCATTTCAGAAGAAAAAATTATATTTTAGTAATCATGACAAAATACAAGCATAGTCACATTTCAATTAGAGTAACAATATAAAAAAATATCGATTTTTAATCTTTTTAACTGCCTGTCCTCCTTTCAAAAAAATATAAAAGTGATAATTTTATAATTTCAATAAAAAATCAACATTTATACACTTTTTCAATGTTTAAAAAATCGATTTTGCAATAAATTTTGAAAAAATTGACAGATATGTAACTCCATATGTTAATACATGTCATAATGTCATAACTGTAAATTACTTCATAATTTTTTGCCAAGTAAAATAAAAGATATTTGGTTTAAACCATACATTGCTTTTCGGGCTGTGTCTATCCCAGTAGGAGTGATGGTTTGAAACTTGACAGACTGGGTTTTCTTTGAAAGGTCTATTGAATGATTGCGTACGAATTCATAATTTGGGGGAACTTTTATCTCCATTATTCGGCAATTACAGGTATTCTTATTATCGACAATTATCCATGTTAAATAGGTGAACAGTTGTGTAAATTGATGAAATTATTACTTTCGATGAAGGTATCGGAAAGCCAGGGCGACATTTCGTGTCGAAATATACCAATCCCAATTAATTAATATATTGACCGCCACGCCGATGACCGGACTGTCCAAATTACTAGAAAACAATTATAAGAAGAAAACTGCTATTGAATTAAAATGTTAGGAACATGAGTAATTAAATAATAGTATAACTTAATAACTATGATACCAAACTGTTAATAACTAATTCTATACGATAAGTAATATCGATAAGTAATGTTATACAAAACGCTCTAAATTTTCGTGGCAGTCAACGTATTAAATGAAACTCATTTCTATAGATACATTGTAAGACACTGATTTTAGGTGACACACCCAATAGATATTGAGACGTACTTCACAGCAGTGTTAGTTAAGTACGTGGCTCAAGTAGCTTAGGTGAACTGATTTTTTTTTTCAACACATATAAAAAAGTATAAACGTTAACGATTGTTTATATTTTATTATTTGGTCGCGGGAGAAAACTAAATATAAAAATAATAGTGCCAATGTAGGTACATTTGTTTTCACGAACGTACGGGGGGATGAACCTGTTAACTGTGAAATTTAGTTTGAAAAATCTCTCGTTTTGCGCGCAGTAAAATAAGAAAATGAAGTTTGTACTCATCAAACGCAGGACGAATGCACCTACGGTATATTTTAATAAAAATAAAGAACTACGCGTATATGGTGTGAAAGTTCTCGAAAATTATTACACTTTTCGAAATGATAGTGCTGGGATGTATACTGCGACATTAAGTTAACTCTTTGCGGTCAAACCGGAGATAGGTATTCCTGGCAAGGCAGTTTTTCTGTTGCCAATGCGTGTTATTGTATTCCCGGTGACCCAACATACACACCACCAGTACGACTACCGTGCAACGAAAAACAAAGACCGCAAAAAGTTAAAGTTTTATATTAACATGTTCCGTGTCACGGAAACTTCAGTTGTATTTTGCTTATGAACTGTATTGATTTTTTCAATAAAATATTAATAACGTGTGGTACACGTGGCACGGAACATGTTAAAGGCGCAGGGCGACTAATTATAGGAGAATTAAATTTTATAGTAGATTATATTATAATATTCTCATTCATTTCACAACATTAGATTAAGAATATTATACTAAGGATAAAAAATGTCAGAAAAATAAAATTTAAGACAAACAATGAACTTAACTTTTGAAACTAACTTCTGTAACTATAAAATTGATATTTTTGTCGAATTTTTAATTACATTTGATTTAAATTATATTTAATTATATTATAAAAGCCGGTAACGTTTTGTAACTGAAAAGATAATAATTCAGAAATGAAAGGTCACGTATATGATGGCCGATATGAAAATATTAATGATTTATATAATTATAATCTTGTATTAGGAAAAGATGATTATAAAATTGAATTTCACTTACAATCAGTTTTCAACCTCGAATATAAGTTGATATCAGTGAGGCTAATTTTTCCAGGATGTATGGCTTATAGGCGAGACGAATCGAACCATTCCGAGTATTTCAACGTTCTGACGCGGTATAATTCAATGCGATCATCAGCCTGTATTGTGCGTTGCTCAGGAGATAATCCTCGGAACGGCATCTCTCTATGTGTTTCGTTTGTAGTTTTGATTGGTTACGTGTAATCCTTTGACGAATAGTAATTTAGTATCTGAAATGAGATAAGAACAGATTGAAATTGACTAATTAAACCTATATTCCTCTCAAGGACTAGCTTTTGAGCAATGAGCTCAATATTTACATAATTTACAATGCTGTTAAAATACATTATACAGAATGATAAATACAACATAATAAATAAATGTAATACACCTAATGATAAATATAAATTGAATTTATTCTCATTTCGTGTACGGAATATTAGAATGTTTACATAAAATCGTCGTAAACACTATTAACTTTTGCGAAAAATGTTGAATGTAGTGCTCACACATAACAAACAAAGAAACAAATAAATTTATTATTTGATAGTCGGCAGTTCATGTACAAAACCCTACCGTGTTTGTTCTGTGTCCTGTTCATACTTCAGACGTGAATTTGTTACCATAGTTTCATATCTATGTGTTTACACATCATTCTTGCCGTATCCATCAATATTCGTGACTTGGTCGTACCTCGGTTGTATTTGTTGGCCTCCGATATTTTTCTAATTTCGCGGCGTAACCAAGGAATGGTACTGATACAGCATGAATATGTATAAACATCCGAAACTATCCCGAAATATTGATGCATTTGACATGAAGATTGCATATTGTATTATATTTATGTATTTTAATTTATTATGCTATTTTATATGTAAGTACCAGTAGATACTTGTATAAAAAGTAGTTTCTAAATATTCACTTGGTGTTAAATGCATTTCAGCGTTGCGTTGTATTTCCTCCTTAAAAATTTACATTTTCAAATATAGATTCCAATTCAGAGGACGATTTTTCAATATATATTGCGTAAGATAAGTGTGAACGCAAGTGTAAAGATCGCTGACAATCATGACGTGCCACATCGACGCTCGAAAGTAGCAATTTTGAAACGGAAGTTTCGAGAAGAGTCTAGAATTTTCACGATGCACAACGTTTAAGAAGGTTTCGACCGATTTCCGGTTGCGGGATGATAGAAGATTGAACGGCACGTCTGTGACATTAGTCAGTCATTGAACAAAATTGATATAACGGCATCTTATATAATAAAAATCATTAGAATGTTAAAACTATCATACTTACAACTATAATTATAAAGTACTTGAGCACACATGTTAGCATTATAACATAAGCGACATTTGTAGATTTAGCTTGTATCCTTGTATTGCATATTCTAAATCAGGGATATTAAATTGCCTCCTATTAATTATATATTTTATATATTAACTATATAAATTATATATTTTATATACATAATTCATATTATTATTGAGAATTTTTATTGTATATGTAGATTTTTATTGAAATATTAATATTGATATGTCACATCATAAGGAAATGTAATAAAATAATTGACTATTTAAGGCCCTCAAAATATGAAGACTCTTACGCACAGAAGCATTGTGTTATTTTATTTATTGTATATACAGAATGAACTCACCACAAAACTTTCATCGAAAAACCCTGAAAAAGAGACAACACTAACCGTAACAGTATTACTCTAAAAATTTGTATGGTCATTTACAGTGAGACCCCGTAACTGTGGTTTCACTTGTCTACAGTTGGCTACAGCTTGAAAAATTATATTTACTTACACCTTCTATGTTGAATATATTTGAAAAATCATTCAGACTGTAGTCGTTTCAAAACGTTTCGCAACTTCCCACCTAAAAGCATTCATTATGTCCAATATATTAATACATATTTTAAAGAATATTGAATTCAAATTTTAATAATACAATAATTGCATTACTTTAAAAAAAATGCAAATTTTTGTTGGATGTATTATGTATATGTAACAAAACTGTTTTGGTTTTAATGCTTTATGTATAATTTTCATGTTTAATAACATTATGTAGGATTATAAGCTAATAAAATAATGTTACATTCAAATTAATAATTTCATTAATTATAATTTTATATCAATCTTATGATGTATGCGTGTACATAAAAATGTTAGATACGGGGGTCTCAGTGTACCTCCATAGATTGTAACTATATAATTGAAAGAATAATACAAGATATACTCTGTTTTGATTTTTTCAATACTTTTCATAAAAGGATTCTTTTTTCACGCAATAAAAGTTAACAATGTTAACGTGTCTGATATAATAAAATAAAATACCTTTTTTTATTTATAAAATATAATAATTACTTAGGTCTGATATAGATTTAATTTTAATTTCTGTACTTTAAAAATTATTACATTTTCCAGTTAAAATTTTAAGACAAGTTTTGATATTACCAATTTTAGAAAGTGTCTCGATCTAACATGTATTAATTTACTATTAAAAGAATATATCTGAAGATTTAGGAAATACTATCTGATATTAATTATCCAGTTTTAACAGTATACACAAGTTTACTCAAGTATTTATCACATCTGTATAAAACATCCACTTCATCTTATTGTGGTCTCTTTATAAGCATAGTTTCTTGTCTTTATTTATAGATAGAAAACTGAATGTCTAAGTAAATGGGTGCTGGTACAACCATACAATTTGTCCACAAGCTCAATTCTTTGAAATCTTCTGCCTTCATAGTAGAACCTGTAATTCATAATGCATATTTATAGTCACCTGAAGACATTCTTGTGCAACTTCATCTTCATAAGAAATACCTCTTACACGTGCTGATTGTAACTATGGAAATATTTTAAGTTTCTATGATCAGTAAAGTTTTATACAGTTTATGTACATAGTTCATAATTTCTCAACTTGCTCTGTTGCGTATTTGAACAAAACTTCTTTGTTACAGGTTATTCACTTTTTTCTCGAAGAAAATAACGAACAGTAATTTTCTAGTAAACGATTATTTAAAAAATTAATTCATTTGTTTTTGTAAAGAAAATCGAGAAAAGTAAACTAATAATATAATAGTAAGAGTAATGAATGCATTGTGTTATAATTTCGTACAAATTGTTTACATTAAATGCAGTCATGAATTTTAAATGAATTATTACACTTGATGTTGAATTTCAATTACAGTTTTGCGACATCGATATTGCGAAGTTTTGAATACATATACATATACATATACATACGCAGTCACATTCGAAAATGAATTTCAAGGAACATCGAAGTTCCTTGGACGACATCGCACCTTGTATTCGGTGAATCGGATCAACATTGTTTACGGACATTGCATGGAAACTAAGTATACTGTTCAACACGATTTTTGTTTTGTAATATCTACTAGATGTTCCTTATAGAGTTCCTTGCCCTAAATACGAATCCGAAAACCAAATTGTTGGGTCACGTCCAGTTTTCGGAAAACATGGGTTTTTGTAAAAGCGGTCGAAAATTTATAAAACAATTAAACATTACATATACATATAAGAAGTGACCGGGGTCCAGGTAGATACAGCGCGTAGTCACGGCCCTGCATAGCTGTGGCCGGCGAGCAATGGCTGTGTAGCGCGAAAGTTCCATGCGCGCACTCTTTGCGAACATTTTCTTACCCTGTCCCAAAGAAAAACCGATCTCACGCTTCCCGCGGGGAGTTCCTCTTCAGAAATGTCTGTAGAATCCAATGGCGCATAACAAATTTGTGCTAGCCAACCCACTTTTCGTAGAAATGTAACAGAAGTGCGTACATAGTACGCGCATCTACCCTTTTTTAAACTTATGTTCAAATTTGTTCCACAGTGTAATAAAAGAATTAAGCTAATATTAAATTCTTTAAATTTACTTCAGATAAGTGGCATATGTTTCGTCTTAACGTGTATTTCTGACGATTTTTATTTCCGAGGAACACAAGATTTAGATAATAGCATCGTATATACAGAATGACAATAAGTCAATCTAAAAATCCCCAGATCTTCGAAAATCTTCTGATATTTTGCGAAACAATTTTAATGAATTAAATTCTTCTACTAATTCGCTTTCTTTCCTTTTTTAAAACCTTTAGATTATTTCTGATTACATTGGCTTACAAAATTTAACTTTTTCTTATCTCAAAAGGTTTCCTCAAAAATTATTTTCATTTCTCATCTGAAAATGGAATTTATCCTGAAGCTTTTTTCAATAATATCCATAAGGAACATGTTTGCTGTGTCGTAAAATAAAATCAGATTTTCTCCCAGACGCTTAGTTGTTAAGATAAATTTAGAAATATCCACAGAAATTGGTGCGTTTTGGGCGCCAGTTTGACTTTGAATTGTATTTAAACATATTTAAATGTTTAAATGTTATACAATATTTATCGTTATGTTCAGAAAGGTCTATAGAATTATTTTCTGCAATAAAAGTAACTTTCATAATTAAGACACAACACAAATGTCCTTAGTTGGAAATTAAAATTTTCTTCCAAAATTGATTTTTTCAAAAACTAAAGATAGTGGAAAAAATGCATTGCGTCTTTAAAATCAACATTAGAAATACTATGTATGAAGATTTCTCATTAAACTTGTTAAGACAGTGTGATTTAAACTGTTTGGCAGATACTGTCAAAGACAGCTTATAATATTGATATTTTAATTGTACTGGAGTTGTTCGACGTATGTGAGTCACAGTCGGTCAAAGAGCTGTTGCACAATATACAAAATAATCACAAAATTGTTGTATTCTTGGAATAATTAAAAACTTCACTGTTAGTCCATAAAATTTTATAACAGTATATTCTTTCTAAGAATCTCATGAGAAGACACGCAGTTTAAATATTGAAATACAACGTATATGTACATAAGTATGTGGTTGTCACTGTATATGTTGCTGTTAAAGTGCATAATATCATTGTTTCATGTAAACACTTTCTTTCTTGTTATAAAACTTGTTGTATAAACTTTCTATATTCATTTTTTTCTTTACAAAAATTTATTTACAATTTAAAACTTCAGTATTTGGGAAATTTGTTGAAGGGTAGAGAAAAACGGAAGTAAATTTTTTGTAACATTATCATAAATGATGTCCGGAACATGAAGTAATTCTCTAAAAAACAAGGTAAGTAAAATTTTTTTAATATAATCTTGAAAATTTATAAGATAAATTAATGTTTTATATCTCAAAAACTATAAAATTAATTAAATATCACTTCATACTATAACCGTAACATGTAGGTACAAGATGCATCCAGAAAAATTCCGAAATCTTTGAAAAATTGTTTCGTTTTATTTAGTAGCTACTTTATTTTGTCATTTGCAAAGTATTGTTATTTACGTCGCATACATATGTATATTACAATTTTTTCATTAGTCAAAGCACTTGTAGAACGCTTCTTTTGTCATGCTGCACAGTTCAGTTAAATTCTACGATTGATTTTCAAAATTTTCCTCCTAAATGCTGTTTCCGACAATTCAAATGTCTTTCTGGCGAATTTATTTAATTTGACATCAAATTTTGTAAAAATTGCCATAAATCACATATTTTAATAGCTAACAAAAATAGTCAAACTAAGTAAAGGTAGCAGTTTAAAATAGTTTTTAATTTCTTACTGAAATATAATTTTCGACAGGCTATTTCTTAAT